AATTGCTTATTCATTGTCGTATTCTTCAAATTATGATTGTTATTAGTCGTCAGGTGTTGTCATTTTTCTCAGATTATATTGTTGTGTGTAAGTTTTGGTATTTAAAATTCTCCTTGATTTCTTTTTGACGTTTGTCGATACTTGGCCTCATCTCTACTCTTTACCTTTAGGAGAGCTAATTAATTTTATGTAGTGCTTTCTTTCACGTTTGGTGGTTCTGAGAAATAAGGTCTTTCTTAAGAAGTTAAATTGCGTCTTCGCCTTTGAGGGATATCGACCTTAATATTCTCAATTATTGAATTTATGGTACATTGAGTTGCCTTACGTTGCGTTACGTTTTCGTAAAGTACCATAAATTCGCCGATGAATTTGGATTTTCCCCCACGGCCACAGTGGATTCTGACCTTTTCTATTTGATCATTAGTGAAAAGCTGCCCTAAGGAGTAGAGTAAAGACCACCTCACTCACTCCAGGATTTCTAATCCAGAGTATTTTCGAGGCAAATAAGGTCTGGTTTTTTTTTTAAGAGAATTTCATACATCTGTCAAAACTGATATTCCAATAATAAATTGACATGTTTTGATTGTTGATTTGAACCAATCAGATTGTAATTACGCGATAATTTGCACTAGTGCAAATTATCAGATAATTGCATACTAACTGGTGCGAAAACTGGTGTTCTGACATTTTCTGACAAAACATTTAAATTTTTGATTTATGAAATTCTCTCATCAAATACAACTCGTGCAATGGAAATATATTTATAATTTTCGACAAATTTGCACTCATGCGTTTTTAACTGAAAAAGGCACTCGTGCACTACGTGCACTCGTGCTCTTTTTCAACTAAAAATGCATTCGGGCAAATTTCCCAAAAATTATCAATAATTTCCATTGCACTAGTTATATTACTATTGATAATTCCCCAAGTCAAAAATTTAGTAACTATGTTGGCAAAACAAGCCTTTTTTACATAAAAATTTTGAAAGCATTGACAATTTTACATTGTAATGCCAACATAATGTAATTTTGACTTTTATCTTTAAAAAAAAACAGACTTTATAATCACCACATTTTCTTTCCTCTCAAATATGTCTTATTCTGCTTTTTATACACAAATTATTTAAATATATTTCAAGAACTCTAGTTTTACCTAGCAAATTAACTATCAATGGTTGACTAAGTTACATTAATTTTCTTGTGGTTCATTTCAAGTTCCTGGCCTTCGCTAAGGTTAAGTTACAAATACAAAGTGCTATAACAGTTTTTCTTTAGGGTTTTTACGTACGGCCACAAATTTAAGTTTACGACCAGCTCTTTTAACTAGGGCATACACATTTAAGTGTACGGCAACCTCCATCGGAGCCTACACAGTTGTAAGGGTACCTCTACCAGAGCCTACACCTTTTTGGATAGTTATACTATTATTTTGCTACTGTTAAACCTTAAGACTGGTTTGACCATACCAGCTACAACCTGTAACCAGGACCAACCAGGTTAATTGAACCTGCGCTGCCATCATTTGGAACATATTGGTAACTTTAGAATTTGCTTGACTTTGTCCAGTGTGTCAATCCTGTAGTCGGATCGGATTTTGGTCCTTCACGGCATTTTTGTGGCAGTTTGACTATTTTATTCAAAGGTGTTTTAGTACTGTTAGTATACAGGGTGGTTCAGCGAAGACAGTCTAACAAGGTTTACGGCTTTGAACGTACAAATCTAGAAAAACCCTCGGTAAGTACTTCAAATTTGAGTTACGCGCCGTGTTGAAAAATTGAAAGCTTAGAAGATTTGCGGAACCGCATTACTGATGAATGCCAACAAATTACACCAGATACCTATTCATCACAATGCGCGAGAACACTTTTGAATGGTGAATATTTTCAAAATACGGGTCCGAGAGTTTTTTTTTCAAAATTTTTACGTACAAAGCCGTAAACCTTGCTGGACTGTTTTCGATGGGCCACCCTGTATATGAGTTAGCATCACGACGGGCATTTGGCAGATCCGGTACTCTCATCATTGCCTATTCATAAAACTGCCTCTGAATAAGAGTAGTTTGTAATTGTTTGATTAGAACCAGTTTTTGTGATTCCTGTGTCCGGAGTTTGGAAGTTTTCTCTGTTTCATATGATTGCAGGATCTTGTGGTGCTTCGAGTTGGAAGGCTTGAAGTTCCCCCCAGTTCAACTCAGAGGCCCGATCAGGAACCGATTCAAAGTGCACATCTGGGTTTCAATTGAAAATTCGTTTGATCAGTTGCTGTGAATGCTGCGGAAGAATAAAACTTACGAGTAGTGAGATGCACTAACCCAAACTAACAGCATGGCGGCCAAAGACAACAAGAGAAGTGTGGGAAGATGTCATAAGAGATGGCGTTATGATATCCAGTAGATTGCTATGGACATGGAAAATTAGGGAAGAAGCATACATTCAGGAGTGGATGAGAACAGGCTGATGAAAAGAAATACGAAAAACTCTTGAGAAAATTAACAAGGAAACTCCAGATATAAGGCTCCGTCAAGTTAGCCCCTCACACTCTGCCGATGATATTTTGCACTGTGCCGTTCCGATATCAAAGTTATAGGAAAAACAAGATGAGAGGTTAACTTGACGCTCGGCCCCCCAAAACTATGGAAATCAGATGAAACAAAAATGGATTCTTATTCAATCTGAAGTCTGCTGAACTGTGCTGTATCAGGTTTTTCTCAAAATTTCCATATTCGGTTATTTTCTGACAAAATCCTACTTCGGTAATTTTCCGACAAAATCTTCTGGGGGCTAACTTGACGCTCAGCCCCCTCAAAATTTTGGAAATCAGATCAAACAAAGATGGATTCCTATTCAATCTGAAGTGTGCAGGACTGTGCTGTATCAGGTTTTCCTCAAAATTTCCATATTCGGTCAATTTTCGGGGATAATACCACGAGAGCTTCAAAATTACCAATAATTTTTTACGATTGCGTGTTTTCTATAATTTCACGGACTCGTGACGAGTGAAATTTTCAGAGAAAACACGCATGAGTGAAAAATTATCTGGTTCATTTTGAAGCTCAAGTGGTATTTAGAAGATTATTTCACGTATGAGAACGCAAAAAATATGGAAATAAATATGTATTAAACGATTTGAACATCTTGACAATCAATACAAATAAACGGTTGCTATCAGGAACCGTTTGTTTGTATTAAAAATTAGCATGACAACCATGTAGGTATACAATAACATGGGAGAATTATCGCTGTAATTCTCTCTAGTTAAACAAATGGAAAAGAGAATTTTCGCTGTAATTCTGAAAATCGTCACTTGTCTTATGGGATTTCTAACACATGAGTGGAATAATCGACAAAATCTTACTGGGGGCTAACTTGACGCTCATCCCCCAATCATCCCCCAATATTTTGAAAATGGAATCGAACAATAATCGATGTCTATTTAATCTGAAGTGTAGCCTGTACTGGAATTTTATTTTTTTGTAGGACATACTTTAATAGCGAAATCTGTTCGCATAAATAATGCGGTACTGGTATGGCACTCACACCCATTTTGAGCGATTAAATATTTGCCCTGGTGCACATTGGAAAAGAATCCATTTTTGTTTGGAGTAGTAGGATTTTGTCGGAAGAAAAATCTGTTACAGCACAGTTCAGCACACTTCAGATTGCATAAGAATCCTTTTTGTTTGATCTGATTTCCAAAATTTTGGAGAGGCTGAGCGTCAAGTTACCCACCCAGTAGGATTTTGTTGGAAAATGACCGAATATGAAAATTTTCAGAAAAACCTGATACATCACAGTTCAGTACAATTCAGATTGTATAAGAATCCATTTTTGTTTGATAGGATTTACAAAATTTTGGAGGAGCTGAGTGTCAAGTTAGCCCTTCATCTTTTTTTTCCTATAACTTTGGTATCGAAGCGGAACAGTACAAAATATCATCGGCACAGTAAAGCGCACTTTGAGCACAGTAAGTTTTTTTAGAAAATTCGAATGTGGGGGGCTAGCTAACTTGACGGAGCCATACCATATACAATGTCCAGTATACTCGAAAGATACTATTGAATTGTACTATTATTACATATTAGTTTAATCTAATTGTTTATTTATTTTTTTGCCCACTTTTTTATCGATGCCAGTTAGTCAATCTTTAGTCCTATTTTAATTGCTAAACAAACACTCTGATTAATAATATGTCTGGTCATAATTAATATGTTAATTAGTATGTATACATTTTAATATCTTAAAAAAGTAGTTTGTGAAAATTAGAAGCTCGCGCTAATGACTTTAGGCCAGTGGAGCATATTGAATTATTTTAATATATTCAGGAAATAATTAATTGCCAAATTAAGGTTAACGAGTCATCATTACTGCTTTTTTTAATTTTGTAAATTAAAAGATAATTTGTCGGCTAGTGATTGATGATATTACGGCACTAAATTTTTTTAAACGTCTTTCCATTTATCCGTTCTTTTAACAATGTACCTAATATTCAATTGAAAATTTCATAAAGTCATCGGCAAAAACACGTCTCTCAGATTTTGGCTTAAACAGTTAAAAGTTTCTGTGCGAATGAGTTTTAGGTTTGACTTTTAAGGTCATTAAACAGTCCGGTCCAGTAATTTCTTTGTAGATTTTCATCATCGTGATTTATTGTATTTATATTTGTTTTTTTTTTAAATCTTGACGATGTCGGACGTACATAAATCAATGTCTAAATAATATCATAATTAATTATCCAGCACGAACTATCTAATTGGTAAAAATTTAATTTTCTTTGAAACTGAAATAGGTACCTGGCGCCTATACAACAACAAAACTATTTTAATTACAGTACCTATAAACCGCTACGTTACCGCTCTATAATCTCAATTAAGCTAGATCATTATAAAATCATTAAAGTTTTTTTTTTTTTTACTTATAAATGATCATGCTTAGGGTTTTTGTTGTTGTATTTTGATATAGGTAATCAATTTTTTATATTAGAAAATAGTTTAATGTTACTTACCTAATGACTCGTTTACGACTAAGACTAGAAGCACCCCTATGACAATTTGTAGACTATAAGCCATCTGAAAACCAAAAAAAAAAAAAATTATTAAAATAGGTGCAACAAAGTGTTTTCTAAATCATACGAGACACACAATCGTATCTCATCGACTTAAAGCAAGTCGTATATATTCCCGAAGCTGCAACATCTTCGACACTCCCATAGAATGCAATTTTTTCCGCAAATGGCCTTTGAATAGAATCTGATCTATCGTTACGGGCACCTAGGCCCATGATCTTGCATAAAATAAATCACTTCGGATCGCCCAGTACTATACCGTCATTATTCTCTAGGAATAAATCACCTAAGAGTGTTTAGTAACTGACAGTTCATCAGTGTATCTCGCTAGCGCACATGCATGAGAACTGAAATGATATTTGTTTTTCTGTTGGGATATTAAATTGATATTGAAGTTGATCGAACATGTACAATGCAATATTGAAGGTTTAAATAAAACAATGCACGATGTGGTGAAATTGTATGCTTACTTCGAAAAAAATTCAGATATTTTTTAAAAAGAAACTAGGATAACTCTGTCACAACAACATAAGGAAATTAACAATATATTTTCTAATAAGTGTGGATAGTTTCCAGTATCTTAGCTTCCAAGTTTACAGTAGCTTACAGTATGAATTCTGCGTGTTACACTGTCTTAACCCGTCATTACACGCGTACTGTCAAATCGCCCGCATGCCCAAATGTTTATATGAATTATTAGCTTTTTTCGCGGAGACGATCCCAGACTACTAATCAATAGAGAGATGAAACTTTCAAATAATACCTGTGTAGGTTATGCTTTAGCGTTCAGGATACGTTTGGGATCGTCTCCGCGAAAAAAGTGTAAAAGCACTATCATTCCTAGAATTCATAATAATTTACAGTTTGTTGAATTTTCTTGGCATGCAGACGTTTCAATTGAAATTGATAAAAAATTTTCTTGCTTCGACTAGGATTTGAACCTAGGACCCTCGAATGTGTGCCCCTATACCTTCTATTTGCCGTCAACAGCGACCGTTGAACGCCTACTTGTCCTGTATTCTTTGACTAGCCGCCAACAGTCGCGCTGTCGCATCCACGGGCATCTAGTTGTGCATCATGAAGAGAAAACTAGCCCTTTTGCTTTAGGAAAAGGAAGAAGACGGCGAAATTATTAATTATTATTTGAAAATGAGAAAAAGTTCGACACCCCATGATATTTTCATCACAAGACGTAGCGAAAAGCGAATGGTTTTTCAGTTTACTGATAAAAGAACATTTGGAAGGCGATGAGAAGTATCATAGATTGCTCTATGCGAACTGACTGCATTCATTAGTTTTTCATCTTCTATTGCCGCAAATTTTGGTGCCATTTTTAAATGTATTATTTGTAAACAAAACACCCAATCGCTCTCGAAGGCGCGTTCAGACTGGTATATCAAGCGGTCGCGCGCCGTCGACAGCGCCGGGTAAATACGACGGTCGCGGTGAGACGCGCTAAAGAAACCATACTCATTGAATCAAATGAATAGCAGTAGGCACCGTCAACGGCGACCGTCGACGGCTCCATCGAAAACGTACCATAACTCACTCCTATACCAACGATAACCGCCGAAGGTTGCCGTTGGTCCTCACAACTAACAACTTAAAATTGATGAAAAACTTGACCGACTAGGTAGAAATAAAACAGGTCTTAGGAGCTCAGTTGGTAGAGCGTTGCGCTGGAAATGCGAGAGTCCTAGGTTCAAATCCTAGTCGAGGCAAGAAAATTTTTCACAAATTTTAATTGAAACGTCTGCATGCCAAGAAAATCCAACACACTGTAAATTATATGACAGATGAAAAAAACTTGTAAAAATTGTAAAATTATTGGCTTAATATTGATGGTTGGGCGTCCCATCTCGATACCTGAAGTCGCTATAATATGTCGACGACGCATCCATGGTTGAAGGGATAATGGATTCCAAAACAGCCAATAATTGCGAATGTGTTTCCCTATACCTTCTAACTCACTCCCATACCAACGAACGATAACCGCCGAAGGTTGCCGTTGGTCTTCACAACTAACAACTTAAAATTAATAAAAGACTTGACCGACAAGGTAGAAATAAACCAGGTTTTGGTAGCTCAGTTGGTAGAGTTGCACTGGAAATGCGAGTGTCCTGGGTTCAAATCCTAGTCGAGGCAAGAAGATTTTTCATCAATTTTAATTAAAACGTCTGCATGCCAAGACAATCCAACACACTGTAAATTATTTAACAGACGAAGAAAATTGTAAAAATTGTAAAATTATTGGCTTCACATTGATGGTTGGGCGTTGCATCCCGATACCTGCTGGAGTCGCTATATATCGACGACGCATCCAAGGCTGAATGGATAATGGATTCCAAAACAGCCATTAATTGTGAATGTGTTCCCCTAAACCTTCTAACTCACTCCCATACCAACGATAACCGCTGAAGGTTGCCGTTGGTCTCCACAACTAACAACTTAAAATTGATGAAAGACTTGACCGACAAGGTAGAAATAAAACAGGTCTTGGTAGCTTAGTTGGTAGAGCGTTGCACTGGAAATGCGACGGTACTCGGTTCAAATCCTAGTCGAGGCAAGAAAATTTTTCATCAATTTAAACGTCTGCATGCCAAGAAAATCCAACACACTGTAAGTTATATTACAGACGAAGAAACTTCATAATAATATCAAAGGGAATTATATTATGCAGTACAGTTACCGTATTATCGACAACCAAAGGTACTCCCAATATCAGAAAATGCTAATTTTGAACACAAATATTTCAGATACTCAGGTTCACTCGTCTGGTCAAAAGCACCGACTATGAAAACAACCAACTATACTTCAACAAAAAACCAAAATATTTTTGGGCCAATGGGTAGTGGAAAACCTGCATCAGGCATTCTTGGATGGATAAAACTGCCAGTGGCGTAAAAATACCTGAGGATGGACGCTGATTGAAGATATGCTGGCGTACGTCGTTTCATGACCGAATAGCTAAGAAATTAGTTAACTAGCCTCCATGTGATGGCAGAACCAGCTCAATCGAATTATTTCATTATCCCTCTGATTGAATTGGTTATAAATAGTCAAAGGTTATGAATGACTTAAAGCAATCTCGGATTCGGAAAATGCTGAATTTAATAAATTGTCAAACAGGGGAGCAGCGTTCTTATGAGAACGAAGGTTCTGTCTTCGTCGTCCGTATTCATATTTCCATAACACTGACAATGACAGAGCAATCGTTCTCATGAGAACGCTGTGCCTGGGTTTCGAGAATAAAATCCCTGATGTGAGGCAGTTTTTGAGCGTAGAAATATGAATTTCTTCAGCAAATTGACGTTTTTTTTTTTTCCCCCAGATACGACAAGCTTTTGATCCAACGGATTTTATCAACAGAAATTTAAATAGGTATTAACTATTACCTATTTATGCGAGTTCGTATATGAGTGAGACTATTCTTCCAAAGCTAGTTTCCTCCTCAGTTGATTTTCTTGAAGATCTTCAATGTTCTTTTCAATTTCGGGATCAGTCCCTTCCTTCGCTGTGGCTGATACAACCAGACGACATCCCCTTCATTGAAGGTGTTCAACAATTGCCTCTCTATTGTCAAGTACATCTTCATTATGTCACTGTTCAGACGTAGTTTATACCTGCCGAAATCTTGAATCACTCTAAGTCTGTCGTGGGGATTAGCCACAGAAACTACAAGTACAGCTCCGTGTTCATCGGCCGGTAGTCTTAAAAACGTTAGACCTACAAGAAGCTACGTCTATCTTTCAATCAATACCATTGATGCTGTATTGTAGCTGGAGGATTCATGCTAAGAGCGTCTATAGCGAAAGAAAAAATGGCATTAATGCTCATCCACATCGAACGGTATGGATTGATGGCATGATTAACCAGACTGTGGATAGGGCGAATTTTTGCTTATTTTCCTTATTCCCAGTACCATCATAACTTGATCCCATACTTCGCAATTTAAAATTCCTCGGTATGAAGTTCCACTACGTGTCTGGCCGTGATGTCTTCCGGTAATGCATCCCCAACTGTAACCACTTCTTGACTGGGATTGGAAGTAATTCTGGCAACTTTGAAAAATAATCTATACAATAGCAACCATGAGGTAAGTACTGATTCCGACTTTGTTGTGAAAAAAGGACCTGCGATAGGTGAAGCGATTGTCTCCTAGGGGGGAAAAAATGTGTTCTTCCTAATTTCTGCTCGATATCGTGTCTTGTTTTCATTTGTTGGAAGCACAGAAGAGGCATCTATTGCACAACTTTTTAAGATCCTTATGACAGTTCATCCAATAATACCGTTCTATAGAAATAATACACTCTTTCCACCATGACAAAACGGTCATCGGTCTGATATGCCTATTATGCTTTTCCAATCTGGACTGTCTCATCTATGAGTCACTCCCACTGAATCGATTATCCCACCACCGTTTGAACAACACTGTATATGTCTTGCCAGTTGTCATCCAGGTTGTCGACGGTTTTTGAAACAGACACGCGCTATTTGCAATTCCTTTTCAGCATTTTATCGCTTCTCTCACCTTGTAACATGCTAAAGGTCACTGTTTTTCTTTTTTCTATATAACTGTTTTATAAATTCAAATTTTGTCATTCGTCCTGAAAAGGTCGATCCTGGGCTGAAAACCGCCATCTTCCTGAGACAACCATGCTCATGGAAAAAATACCTTATCGGCCATCAGGCACTATTTTAACGAAATAAATAATAAAAAACAATAATCTATTAAATACCGGAAAAATTTAAATCGAAAGTCTTATGATTTCTGTTTTATTTGAGCTTACATTTCGAACCCTCTCATGGGTTTTCCGAGCAGCCGTTTTTCCGAGGAGCCGTTTTTCTGAGGAGCCGTTTCTCCCAACGAATCCATTTCCAAAAGCCCTCATTTTTAAAAGAACACCGTGGAGCATGGCATAGAGATTTGGAAGGGATTCCTAGAGGAATCAAGTCCCTCACGTATTGTCTCCTGTACCTCCACATTTAACGACAACCGAAACCTTTTAGCCTCTATCTACCTTGATTCAAGGCTAGAATCTGCAACTTTCCTCGTCAAAAAATGGATGGCTGGATGGCTATTATCTATTTTATTTTCGCATTCTTGACACCGAGGTGATGGTGGAATAATTGATTTTCTGGATTTTCGATTTATCGAATTTATTATAGATTCATCTTTACCTAACTTTTAATACTGCCATATTTTAGGAATGTAAATGTTATAATCGAACTGAAGTTAAGGTTGGACAACATGCTCTAAATTTAGAATTATTGCGTAAGTACCTACATCGCCGAAATTTGATCAATTTTTAACCTGGGTCCTACCTATAACTTATACAGAGTGAGTTCAAAGTAAGGAACGTCTCAATTATCTTGAAAACGGCTCGCACGATTTTTATGAATTTTGGTTTGAAAGAGTATTTAATATGGCCGATAATATGGTAGTATTTACATGGTTGTCACATCTTTCGTTTTTCGAGAAATATCGGAAACTCTGTTATTCCAAATAGACCACCCACATTATGACATTTCTGGCTTCTGCGGAAAATTCTAGACATATTTCATATACAATGTCATATATCTATCTTCAACTGCTTTGGAAATATTGATAGTTGAAAATTGACTTTTTTGCAACTTTGACCAGGCTGTGAAACCTGAACGGCTAATTTTACAGCGAAACCGATTTTACATTCTCGTCTGTAGCATTTCATAAGCTATCATTTAACACCAACTATAAATTTAACCGGAGATTGAATTCAAGCGAACTTTTTAATCGTGGATTAAATTCAAAGTTGGTGTCAAATGTTTTATATTTATGAAAAACTAATATGAGAATTATGTGATCGGTTTTGTTCTAAAATCATCCGTTTAGTCTGTCAAAGATGCACAAAAGTCAGCTTTCAACTGTCAATATTTCCGAAACAGTTAAACATACGTATATGACAGCGGCTAAGCTCAGCCACTCAGTAGGGACTTTATTCTCGAAACCGAGGAACAGCGTTCTCATGCGTACGATTGCTCTGTCATTGTCAGTGTTATGAAAATATGAATACAGACGACGAAGACAGAACCTTCGTTCTCATGAGAACGCTACTTCACTGTTTTGAGAATAAAGTCCCTGTTGAATGGCTGAACTTAGCCGCTGGCACCGCCTGAATGTACCCATTGTTCATGAAATATGTCTAGAATTTTCCGCAGAACCCAGAAATGTTATAATATATAGGATGATCCATTTGAAAAATAAAAACGAATCCGAAAAGCAAAAGATCTGACGAGCATGCAAATACTACCATATTATCGGCCATATTACAATACCCTTTCAAACCAAAATTCATAAAAATTGTTCAAGCCGTTTTTGAGATAATTGAGACGTTCCAAACTTTAAACTCACTCTCAACGTTTAACCTTTAATTTCATACAGTGTCAATTTGATTTTAGTGATTTTATTTTCATATTTTAAAATTATTCAATACTTGATTTTTGACCTCACTGTGAAAATATATACTATGTTGATTTGAAAATTGCTTGAGTGTTTTATCGGTTTAACCTATGTCAAGATTTGGTTGAGTTATATGCCTTTTTTATTTCCTTTTCAGAATTATCAATTACCGTTTGCTGATTATTTTTTTCTAGGTGTGTTTCTGAATTTTCACACTTCAATTTTTTTTTTTAATGTAATTTAATTATTTATTTTATTTATCAAATTCAGTGGCGCCCTTGCCATTCTGTACTTATTAAACTATTGACCCACCCTTAATAATTATTTGCTGAGCAAACTGAGCATATTATGGGCCTCTTGTTAATTCATTAACAGAAGAGGTAACAACCTAAAAGTTTTCTTTCTTGATGTCCTGGTCTGTAGAAACCTTCATGTCGCGTATAATGATCTTGACGTAAAAAATGAAGTTGACGATGGTTTTTGAAGAATGATTTCAACAAAGTGTTTTATTATATTTTTAAAAATAACTCATTGAAAATGGAATTTTTATTATTTTTGAAAATAGAAAAGTTATGGCATGTAACTGTAAAAAAGAATAAGTTTTTCCACACTAGTGACTCGCTACCTTCACACACTTCCCAAAAAGGAAAAAATTGATAGTTCTGGTTTTTAGGGGACTATTATCTATATCAAAACGGCATTTTTAAATATGTGTAGATTGTAGATGGATGAAAATGAGAAAAGTTAGGCGTTTTTAACTAATTTCGAGGCACTAGAATCAATATAATAAAACATGTAGTTTAGTTCGATTAAAAACAGAAAATCAATTCAAATTTCGTTACTGGCCTAACTACATAACTAGTTTTCAATATGAAACAACGCGAACGTGCCGTGAAGTATTATTGATTTCAAATTGTACGTTTATAAATTGCAACATGGATGGTATTTCTATAAAAATTTTATTACTCCATGCCATCACCACGTTGAATTTTGCAAAAGTTTCAGAACAATTTTCATAAAGCTGTCTCCCGGCGACGTAACGTAATAATAGAGTTTGGTGATGGTAGCTGCCGGCGAGTCGGTGTACAGACCATTTATTTTCAATTTTCCATATTTTTCTTCAAAAAAAAAAAACTGGATATTTTAAATTGAAATGAACTTTATATTTTGTATATTATCTGAAATTATATCAACGTTATCCTACTTTTGTGGCACATAATGAGATTTAAAAATAAAACTATTATTTCATTATTATTAATAATAATAATGAACACACAGAGGATATTAATTACCTGCACACTTCTCAACATTTTCTACAATCCTCTCGGCACCAGTTTTTCACACCTATATTACCTTATAACTGACATCAAACATCAATGACAGAATTTCTATCAAACTTGCCAAAATGTCGTGCTGCCACGAACAACCGCAAGGACAAGGTATAAAATTCATCGACGCCCGCTCCATTTTCGATTCTCGTGGTAACCCAACCGTCGAAGTAGATCTCATAACAGACTTGGGCCTCTTCAGGGCGGCGGTACCATCGGGTGCCAGTACCGGCATCCACGAAGCCCTAGAACTACGAGACGATGTCAAAGACGAGTATATGGGAAAAGGCGTTGCCAAAGCCGTGGGCCACGTCAAGAACACTATCGGCCCTGCGTTGATAAAACAAAATTTGGATGTCACTCAGCAGGAAGCCATTGACGATTTTATGATAAAGCTTGATGGTACTGACAATAAATCACAATTCGGTGCCAATGCTATATTAGGAGTTTCTTTGGCTGTATGTAAAGCTGGAGCAGCCAAACGTGGATTACCTTTGTATAGGCATATCGCTGATTTGGCTGGAAATAAAAATATCATTCTTCCTGTACCAGGTAAAATGTTTTTTATTGAATTATGTGTGGTCTATACTGTTTTATTCGACCAAATTCAACTTCAAGTCGAGTTCAGCTTGAACAATTTATAATTTTCATTTCAGCATTCAACGTTATCAATGGTGGTTCTCACGCTGGCAATAAATTGGCAATGCAAGAGTTCATGATCCTCCCCACTGGTGCCTTTTCATTTTCCGAAGCAATGAGAATGGGCACTGAAACTTATCACCATCTCAAAAAAATCATCAAAGACAAATATGGTTTGGATGCTACCGCTGTAGGCGATGAAGGAGGCTTCGCCCCAAATATCACGAATAACAAAGACGCGTTGCAGATTATTAATGAGGCTATTGAGAAGGCTGGCTATACGGGTCGCATACAAATCGGTATGGACGTAGCTGCTTCAGAATTTTATAAAGATGGCTTGTACGATTTGGACTTTAAAAATCCGAAAAGCGATAAAAGAACTTGGATAAACGGCGAGAAGCTTATGCAAATGTATCAAGATTTCATTAGAACTTATCCGATGGTATCCATTGAGGACCCATTCGACCAAGACGATTGGGAAGCATGGTCGTTAATGAAAAGCTGCACTGAGATTCAAATAGTTGGTGACGATTTGACAGTTACAAATCCGAAACGAATTCAAATCGCAATTGAAAAAAAAGCTTGCAACTGCTTGCTATTGAAAGTAAATCAGATCGGTACAGTGACTGAATCTATACGAGCTCATTTGTTGGCTAAACAAAACGGTTGGGGTACCATGGTATCGCATCGATCAGGTGAAACTGAAGATACCTTCATAGCTGATTTAGTGGTTGGATTAGCAACAGGACAAATCAAAACAGGAGCACCTTGTAGATCGGAAAGGTTGGCGAAATATAATCAGATGTTGAGGATTGAGGAGGAGCTTGGACCGAAAGCTGTGTATGCTGGAAAGGCTTTTAGAAGACCGACATGCTAACTCGGGATTATTTAATCTAAATTTTTTGTGAAAATGTGTTATTTCGTAAAAAAGTGAATGTGGTTTCTGATTTACTTTTGCATTCACCTCTCAAATGCTAAACATAGCTATGTTAATACCTTTGGGTAAAATTGAATTTATACTTTATGGGTTTGATCGTGACTACGGCAAACCGGCATCTTATTAAATAACAGTCCATATTTTCAGAAAATTAAAATGCAAATTGCACGCCTTCGGCGTATTGAAATAAGTCGAAATGCTATTAGCAAGAGCTACTTGTTGCGGCTCTTTATTTCCTTTATTGCTGCGCTAGCGCGGCTAGATTAACTGTTTCATTAACTGTGCGGCAAATAAAAGTCGCCGGCCTTCCTGCGTTTGCAGCTACAGCTTTTTTATTTTCGTAGAAAATCTGTAGAACGGGTGTTGATAAGACGAACGGTTCACAAGCACTGATGTCTTCTGTCTTGGCCTTTATAGGCGCTACCGGCTGAATTCCAAAATGTATGGATAATGATTTTTGTGTAACATGTATTTTGCGTAAATGGTGGTTAGTTTTTAGATTCCCATAAAAAATTTCTAGTCAATGAAGTATCTAACCTGATATTTTCTGGAATGAATACGGGACAATTTTGACCGTTTTTAAAAAAAAAGTATAGGCGCTTGTTATAATAATATATCATACTGATTTTTGAAACACCTATAAAATGGTAGTTTTCCAAAACGAGTGTCAATGGGTTTTGTTTTTATCACCCTTTTTTAGTAGTACAAATCGAGCTATTAAGTACGTATATCCAATAATTCAAAATTAAAATTGTATCCTATCAAATACTTTTTTGAAAAACATTTTTGATGAACAACTAATAAGTAAGACTTATGTATTTTAATAATAGGTAGATCTTTGGTTATTGTTATTCCGTTGGTTCTCCACCAAGTGTTGAGAAACACTTGGTTCTTGACGACATCTCTGCCCCTATTTTTTGAATTCATATTTGAAAAACTAGTAGGTTCTCTAATATAATTTTATGTGTATTTTTAGAGTGGATTTTTTCCTTTGAATGGAAATTTTTCTATGTACTAATCATGCGAGATCATCAGCATCAAAATGGGATACTTATTATTGGGCCATTCTCTCGAAAAGGTTGCCCTTAACTGACCTTTTTCTATACCTTTTCAACTTCAAATTGGGATCAATCAATGCAATCATGCTGTCTTCTGATTGGTTCGATCTGGTTAATACGCAGTTAAGTATAAAAAAAACCACGAAACTTGTTTTCCTGCAGGGTTTTGCCTCTAAAACGCTCTCTTTTTCTGGCAGTGACCGAGCAGGCAAGTCGATTTTCACTGTTGTAATTTTTTTCCGTCAGATTTCTAGATTTTCCCTTAATAACTTTTCAATTTATTTTACCATCAGTAATACCTATACTATCATATCACTGTTGAGTCTTTCCCTGATAAATCTTATCTTATCTTCCTTGGAAACATAAATAATATATTTTAACTTTTTTTATCTAATTCAGTGCTTCCATCTTGTGATTCTTGGTCCCACATTTTTTCTAAGGTGAGTCAATTCAAAGTTTTGACGAATAAATAGGTACTGCTGCTCTGGTTTTTAGAATCAACTGTTAGTGTGGGATTATTGGACAATTTGCTCGAAATAGAGTCGGTGCAAACCAAATTTGTGTGTCCATCCCTATCAACATTCTACCGAATCCAGGCAGAGGCCTGTATAGCCATTTATTGTTTGACTCTCTCATTTTCTTCTCGAGAAGGAGAGTGCTGCAAAGAAAAGGTGTGATTTTTAAAATAGAAATCCGGATAAATCAGAAATTAATTTAAAAAAATTTAATTAAAACATCTCAAGAATTTTGACAATTCCGGGATTTAATTAATTTCATCCTCAGCTTTATCTTGTAGTACCTATAGTAAGTACCTCAACTTAAAAGGAAAATTTGTCTATTTGGGGAAAATCTAGAGATTTATTTTTTTTTTTAAATTTTTTATCTGATTCAATTTTTTCTGCATTTTGCCTGTTTATTGCGATTGCCAGAAAAGCAGCATCCTGGTCAATTATAACGAGCATTTCAATTTAATCTTGCTGTATTTCCCTATTTTACTCTTATTTTATCATTATTTTCAATTATTTAATTGTTTTTTTTTATATTAAAATATTTTTTTCTATGAGTATTGAATAATATGCGTAATACATCTATTTTTTATTGACCAATGAAAATATCCTGGTCGCATTACTCCACTATTTAAGAGCCAATCAAAAAATTCAATAATTTGACAACATACTTCAACCTTCCAATCGGTCATTTTGACAGCTGATTTGGACAAGACTTGTGCTACCTAACCTGACTTTGTCCTCCAGCTGTCAAAATTGTCAATTAATTTTGTTACGAAAATTAAATAAAAAACCGCATAACTCGTGCCTATTATCTATTAATCATAGAAAAAGTATAGTATTCTACTCGTGGGTAATGGCTAGTACTCACTCAGGTGATTACACTACTCGCCTGCGGCTCGTAGTGCAAACTTCATCCTTGGTGAGTAATAGCCACCCATTACCCGTTCGTTGAATAATATACTATTTCCAACTTGCAATAGTTACTCATACTTACCTGATTCTGTTGAAAAGGAGTATCTGCGTAACAATAGTTTTATAATAAACTTATTTAATATTTCAAATCTTGGTCAACCTGAAACTGTCTTATTCTTTTCTGGGTACCTACTCGACATAAAGATCACTATTTGGAGTCTGGATCAGCTGGAGTGACGTCACACCAGTAATCTATCCTCTTTCCTGGATACAGGAAACAACAGTTCACGGAAATTAAACCCAAACATCCATTGAAGAGCTCCGGATTGGAAAAGGTACATACAGTATCAGTGTGTCACCAGAACAAACAAACTGCTAACTGTCAAATTTAAAAAAGCAACTTGTTACTTGCAGTGTTACTTACACTTGCAAATATTTAAACTGTGAAAATAAAATTATTGTTTGTTGGAATTTGAGTGGTTTCCACGACCCTATAGGTTCTCTTGTCTTAAAGTACAAATAACTAAATTTACTTGTAACATGTTCCATTTTTAACAAGATTGGATTGCATGAAGAGAGAATGACCTCCTTGCTCGCCACATTTGAATTATCATTATTTTCTTCTTTGGGATTATCTCGAAACAAAAATATATAAATCTAAACCTCACAGCATAGCTGATTTGCAAGCAAGTCCAAATTCAAACAATAAGACCAGAAATTATCTGACCGGGATAATATATGAATAAAGTCTTGAACTATCTAGAAAAAAGGCTCTCACGCTCAGATCATCAGTGGACGGAAACTAACCAATTCAATAATTATTATATAAGACAAAGACATTTCTCAATCATAGGAAAATAAATCAAATATTGAAACTTTTTATCAGATTCAGATCAATCAAAATCTATTAGGCTAAAAACGCATCAGGTTGATGGGCCAGGAAAAACGAACTGACACGATAAACATCATCAGATGTCGATTTGTCGCGGACGATTGGGATGCCAGATGGTATATTAAGAGCGCCAGAGCAGAGCAGTGGCAGACCAAAAATATCACAATTTAGGAAGGTATTCTGTACATCCTTTCGAATGTATAACTAAAACTTATTTGGTTGGTAATTTTCAAAACTCGTTCAAAATATACAATATCTATCAAAAAGATTTTCACTGTTCCATATAGGACGTTCAATCTCGAGGGAATAACGAAACAATCGACGTAAACATTTACATTGTGAAGATCACCCCATGAAAATTCAAAACACTCAGTCTCAACATCTACATTTTGTTTGATTTTATTTGCCAATTTTTTCCTAAAATCGTTTCCTTATTGTGTTTGCAGGTGACAGAACTATTCTTGAATAATGGCATTCCAACACTCCCAAGGTGGTCTTTCTGTTTCACATCAGTAACACTTGATTCTTGTTTTTCTTGTCAAGAATGGACTTCTCAGCGAAAGCCGGTATAAATAAAATTTATTTTTCTCTAACTGTGAAATTTTGAGGTTGAAATGCTTATATCTGATTCTGCTACCATTATTTACTGATAATGGATACCGATTGAAGAGAAAAATATGATTGTCTCATTACTGAAATACGCTAAAGCAGGAATATTGTACGTAAAGAACAAAACTGAGAAAATATATAAACAATAAACACTTTCAGGAAATTTTTCCAAGTTCCACATCTTTGCTGTAGATGTATTGCACCCAGTGATGAAAGGAGCGCATTTTTAAATAATTTAAAATAATATGAAAATCTAGAGAAGGTCTTACTTTATCTTCCCATCCGCCACTGGGCATAAAATGTCTACAAAAGAGACATTCATTTCCGTTTAGTCGTCATTGAATGCTGCCGATGAATGCACCAAAGATTCCGTTACTCGAACAAGATTAATCATCGATATGTTGGCCGCTTTTTCCTCAGATATTTCTCGTTTTGTTTGCCATTAATCATCTTTTGTATTTATGACAATTTGGACGCCGCTATAAAATCCTTGATGGATAAGCTACGTAATGATAATTTTTGGATTTTATCAAATAGAATATTAGGAATATTATGTTATGTGGTTCTCAATAGGTATTCATCATGCACATCAACATTATACCGTTGAGAAATAAAGTACCTATACTTACCTTTTTCAATGTTTAAATTACCGCCGACTTTGTAACGTGCTTTTGCTAATCACAAGTTCCAATTTACTCAAACAAGCCTTTCATCAATATATTTCTTATTCCAAATATACATATAAGTATGTATATACATTGTGACAAGCGAAATAAATTTTGTATCCCTTCATTTCATTCAGTTTTTGTTCTCACTCACCCCACCAAGGGCACCTAGTCAATTGAAGTTAGATGGATCATTTTTGGTTTAATTTTTTGAAACTTTTTTTTGTGACATTTGAGACCTACATACCATTAGATCAAAAATCGTATTATTTATTTGTATTTGTATTTGCCTATGTATTTTGCTGCCTAAGCATCACGATTGCCCTGTTTCATAAGAAAATCAGTTCACGTCATGTGTGGCTTTCCAGTTTTTGATTGGGAATTTGTTTTTAATAATAACAGAAGCTGCAGCAGAACGGTCAAAATTCAAACACATACGGAGGGGGTGCCAGAAGTTTAGAAAGTTGGAAACTAATAAAACAAATAAGACAAAATAAAAGTAAGGACGTCATATCAACAATTAAATCAGAGAGGCCGGAAAAATTATGAGAAACTATTTGTGGAATCGCGAAAAGAGTTTCAAGAATGTCAAGAACAAAACAACGAACATTTTAATGAAAGTAACTTGATAAGAACCAGACAATATGAAGTAAAGTATGCAAGACAATAAATGAAGGAAAAATTTTCAGAACCAGGTGAACTCTTCAAATACGGAACCAGCATACTTTTCGAACATACCTCACGGCATCAGGCTAAAACTCCTGACGAATGGAAGATAGGTATCCTACATGTCCACCATATTTGAGAAGAGTGACAGAACCAAATGTGAAAATTACAGTGCAATAGATCGATGAGAAAAGTTTATGGAAGGGTTAATAAGAATATAATCGAATACCAAGTCATGGAAGTTGAGGAGCAAGCAGGTTTTCGAGCAGGCAGATTGACAATGGAGCACATATATATTCACATTAACTCTTCAGATCAT